TATAATTCATATTCATTTAGTACATATTGAAATTCTTTAATGAACTAATAAAAATATCTAATATTATATAAAAAAATTTTTCCAAAAATCTTTATATTTATTTTTTTAAGTATATATTAATAAATTTAATTAATTTTAGTGTAAATAACTTATTTAACATTATTTTTTAATTTTTTATATTTCAAAATATTGTTAATTTAATTTGACGTAATTAATAAATATATTTTAAGTAATCGATTTGTCACAAGTGGCCCAGTCAATGAATAAATGTGTGGATAGATGCCCCCAATGACAACATAATCTACATAGGTATACTACATTATTCGTACAAAAAAAAATATTTCTTAGTACAGACGCCCTTTACATAATTCTGGATACGCTTCTATTTGTTGCTGTTATTATTTGCTATCGATAGTCAACTGTTTTTAAAGTATAATTAGATAAGACTGACTATATTCTGTTATACTCTGCTTCATAGGATTAACTATGGTCTAATAGGCTTATCTCAGATTTATTGCTAACCTCTTGTCTGTCTATCTAAATTTTGTTTAGAAGTTACTAAACCTTATTATGATTTTCTTACAACTAATAACTATGAATAATCATAGCATTGAAATGACTAAGAATAGTTGGGAATTAGAGATATGACTTTAACAGCACTGCTGAATCTAGGTAGATAGGTATATGAGACAATCGACTTTAAGAACTTCGAAAGAAATACACCATGGAAAAAATAAACCGTTGTGGTGACTCATGATCCCATACTACCATTACAAATCAAAGTAACTTCAGTCAAATTGGCAACATATGAGACATTTTTTAGCTGGTAATGATCTAATTACACTAAGTTAAATAACCAATATAAAATTAAACATAATTTTAATAAAGTTTAGAATTAGTAATTACTAGTTCTAACTAGTATTCTCATTCCCGTTTCAAAGCAAGCTTAGCTCTATTATGTATCGTCGAGTATTGAAACACGCATCTATGCTTAACAAAAAATGTAAGATAATAAATAAAATGACAAAATATGATGTATAGATTATATTTTTTATTAATTTCTTTAAATCTCTGTTAAATTTAATATATTAAACTTTTTTGTTTGATATGCAATAAAACATTTTTAGAAATAAAAATTAATAAAGCTTAACTTTCTAAAGATTTTCTCACAAATAAATCTCTTTAAAATGTAAATTTTTAAATTTATATTCTTAAAATTTTTAAAATCTGTATTTAAATTGATTATAATTGATTATAAAAATTTTTATTTAATTTTATAATCTCAACAATCAAATGTTAGATTTTTCATTGACATTCTGAATTATTCAATACATTTATACATTATTTCTTAAAGTTACTTAAAGTTATAAGCAAA